TGAGATAACTACATGCTGTATTACTACATTGAAAGAAGGAGTTCAGAAAATAAAAACAGCTACTTAAAGCCATTATTTCTTATTAGATTTCTGAGGCCTAAGCATTAAAATAGGTCTATTTATTTTTCACCGAAACCAAAGTGACAGTTTGAGATTATGCAATTTAATAAAAGCAATATCAGTTTTGTTTTGTTTCTGTTCAGTTCTTTCTAAATCACCAGGTCAACAATCTTACGTTTAATCTTTAATGTTACAAAACTGATCAAGTAGAAGAGTACAAGAAAGGATAGAGCTAGACAAGGCCATTTGCCCATCAGATCTGTTCCTTGCACAGAGCAGCACATTAGCAGTTAGATAATGGAGAAAGGCCTGCATTATTATAGTACCTATTGAAACGTCTCAAAGCACCATGTGTTTATTACTATCAAGTGTTGTGATTGTATTATATATCTGTCAACACCTCCTTGCTGGACTCCCCAGCTTCTCCCTACACAAGCTGTGGACCATCTGGAACTCTGCGGCTCATACGCTCTCCCACGCCAGGCCTCATGAACCTATCATCCCAAGCCTCACTTGGCTCCTCTGGCTTTCAATCTCCCAGCGCAACAAATTCAAAATTCTCATTTGACATTCAAGTGCCTCCATGGCCTCATCCCACTCTACCTCTGCAACCTCCAGTGACCCTGCTGCCCCTTCTCTTCCTCCACTCAGCAAAAAACACCAACCTGGCCCCCACTTTATACGCCCCATTACTGATGGGAGAGCCTTGAGCAACTCTGCTCCCATTCTCTGGAAATCAATCACTCCGCCTTTCTCCACCCCGTTCCCACCTTCAAAATTTGCTTTAAGACCTATCTCTTCCATTGTGCTTTTGGCCACTTTTGCCCTCCTCCCACAGGATCCCAGTCAGTCATGTAAAGCCTTTGTGATATCTCCTTAAAAAACACAATATAAATGTAAATTGTGATGGTGGGTGTTGCATTTATAGGCAAACATGGCAGCCATTTGTGCCAGCAAGGACCAACTGACATCCATGACATACACTGGAGATGAATGTCTAATTATTTTACAGAATTGTTAACCAGGCATAAGGAGAAACTCCCTTCTCTTTTCAAATAATGTCTTTGATATCCATCTAAACCATTCTACCATCGATAGCTGGGCTTTCAGCTGATCTGCCACCGCTTTCTGGAACTCCATGCCTACGACTCTCTCTCCCGCATCTCGTTCAAGGTCTGTCTCAAGACCTACCTCTTTGACCCCGCTTTTGGTCATCTTTCCCATCCCCACCCCCTCAGCTCCCACCCCCAGCTCGGGTGCCAAGCCAGGATTGATAAACGCCTTGGAACATTCCTGCTATAAAGACTCTACTGTATATAAATTGATATTGCATTGAATGGTAGGGTGGGCATTCTGAAAGGATGAGATCCATTAACTAAAGTACCTTCTCTATCTGGATCTTGTTTGTGCTCTCAGGAATTGGTTTCACATTTCTACCTCTGGAGATGGGATCGGAAGTTAAATATATGACTTACTTTTCAATTTTCCTTCTCAGCTGTGCAATGCTGCAAGAGATCCTCTTTAATGACTTTTAATAAAAAGATTAACAGGCTAAATGGGCCTTTCTCCTCTTTTATGTGTGAAGATTGTATCTGGTTTCCTAGGGAAAGGAATGCTGAACCCAGAGTTAAGCACATTTGATTCATCCATTTGACAGAGTCTCTGCTGTGTGCACATATCTACAGTGCCACTAAAATTGGCAAACACAGGAATGTCAGACGCATCTAGTAACAGCAATTGATCCCTATGGGTAAAGGATATATTAGGGCGTATTAAGTGAGTTACTTAGATTATGTAAATGCAGCTGTATTATGCTAGGTGTGGAAAATATTTGTAAACACACATGTGCAGAGGGAATTACAGATGCACATGCTCTTAGTTATGTAATTAACAACCAATGAAAAATTATTCCTTATGTGAGTAATAAGTAATCCTCACAATGGTGTACGCATGATAAAGTTATCTTTGCACAGACTGCATACAACATGCATAATAGATCCTAATGTTGTAGAAAATCCCCCACCCATAAAATGGATTTGCTCATAAGACAGTGCCCTTTGGGTTGTCAGGCATCATCAATGTCACTTCCTCTAAGCTATACCTAATAATGAATAAATTATCCTTGGACTTGATATAGTGCCTTATCATGGTGTTGAGGCATCTCAAAGCACTTCACTGAATATAATGTAAAGTGAATTGACTATATTTTATGGGCAAACCACAGCAGCCAATTGCGCACAGCAGTGTCCCACAAACATATATACATGTGGAATACATGCAGGAAATGTCATTGATCAGAAGATGGCACTTTTTAATATGGGAAGTCAACGCACATGCATAGTGGGCAGGAAGTTACCTTAACGGCAGCCATTTATCAACTATGCCTCTTCCAGGAATTGGCATCAACTACGTCTCTTGATAGGCTTCCTGGAGCATCCCCCCACTATAAAGGGGGAGCATCTGCGCAGAGCATATGAAATGGTGTTGAGGTAACGATTTGGCTTATATGCAATGTTTGAAAAATGCAACAATTAATAACAGATTCAATGTGATAACTACCACATTTTTCACCTTTAATGTTGCATTTTGTGTTTCTCTAATTCTCACTCTTACAATTGTGTCCACAGAAATGTATGACACAGCATCATGTCATTTGGCTAATTAGTTTCTGTAAATTTTGCTCCTAAGACATCCAACCTAATCCCAATCTCTCCTCTTTGCCCGTACTCTAATATGCTTCTGCCAATCCTCCAAATAAAATTAGTCATTTGCTTCATAGCTGTTTATAGGACCTTGCTGTGTGCAAAATGGCTGCCGTGTTTGCCAACAAATACATTTCTCAGTACTCCTTAATAATAATAATTATCCTTGCATTTAGTATACCAATAACATCAAAACAACAACTTGAATTTATATAGTGCCCCTCGTGCAGGGTAGTGTCCCAGAGTGCTTAAAAGATCTCAAAGCTCTTCACATGGATCTACAGTTATATGTAGTGACTGAATATTTTGTAGGCAAAGACAGCAGCCAATATGTGTACAGCAAGGTCACACTTACAGCCATGAAGTGAATGACAAATGTTATCTGGAGGAATACCGCCTAGGACAATCCTTCCCTCTCTTTTCTCATACCTATTTAATTTTGCAATCCAAAAATACTTGCAAACATTAATATAGCAGCCTGTCTTGGTGCAAAAATCCACACTGCATCTTTCTCTAAACTTAAAGAAATAAAAATTACCACCTTTTATTGCAGTCAGTTTACAATCTAGAGTCAAAGATCTCACATTAGCCTTTTATCTGTTGGAATATTTCTTAACTGCAGCGCACTTTTGTTAATCTTCCTTGTAATTTATGATAATGTTGTTTTAGTTACTGCCGAAACTGCAGTGGAAATTTCCAGAATTAGTGGGAAAAAACGCTGCTGGACTTTTACAGCTGGATAATAGATTTGGGTCAAGTATGCGTGACTTGAAAGTGAATGACTTTCATCTGCAATTTCCTTTTCTCATTACGTTCAGCCAGATCTCAGGGCTTTTGTTAGACTGACATCCTTACAGTTTAGCTATCAAAGGGTAAGTCGTGAAGATCAGAATTATTTCAGAAAACATGGGACCATCCATTTGTTACACTGGTAATGAGCCAAACTGGAAAATGTGTCTTCTACTTTCGATTTGAAAACAAAGGGGGCATGAATGGAGCAAACAAATTTAAAAGGGCGATCAGAGAAACATTTCTTCACACAGAGGGTGGCAAGAATATGGCATACACTGGCCCGAAAATAGGAGATGCAGAATCAATTAGGATGTTATTAAAATTATTAATAATAATAACATCCTAATTGATTATTAAGAATTCTGGAATTTGTGCCTTTCACATCAGGAAGATGTTTCAAAGCTTCACTTCATTTACTGTAAAGTATAGTGACTTGGAATGAGGGTGTGAATCACACCTGAAAAACAAAACTTGCACAATACTGTTAACAAAAAATAGTTTATTTTAACAAGGAAACTCTAACTCTGTCTTCTCCAGACTCTCATCTCACACTCCTAAGCCCTCAGCTTTATATTAGAGCTCAATTATTACAAACTCCAATCAAGCCTGATTGTGTCCAGCCCTTGTAGCTCCCTTTACATGTAGGTTTATCGCCAATAACCATAAAAGGCAGTGACAATTTGTACACAGCAATGTCCCACAAACAGTGAATGACCAATTCTATCTGGAAGATTATTGACCAAGACACTGGGAGGAATAAACTTCTCTTCTTGAATATTACCATGGGATATTTAACGTTCACCTGAAGAGGCGTAGGAACCTCGATTTAACATTCATCCAAACAAAACAGCACACCCCAACTCTGCATTGGAGAATCAGTCTGGATTATATGAGTGAACCTTGAACCCAAAATCTTCTGATAAGGAGGCGAGAGTGCTACCAACCGAGCCAGGCTGACATCAATTTGATTAGTGATGATTCATAGAAAATAGTAATCTTTTATAACAGGAAACCCCATTACCCCTTAATGTCCACATGAAGAACAGGTAAACTATCTCAGTTTAATATCTTATATGAAACTCCAACAATGCACCATTCTCCCAATACTTTACTGGCGTTTCAGCCAGGATTACAACCTTAAATCCAAATTTTTATTTTGAAACCTCAACATTCTGACTCAGAAGCAAGAGTACGACTAACTGAGCTGGATTGACACAAAATAACAGCAAAGAGGTTTATATTTTTAAGGAGGTGAAGATTGGCAGGGAGTTTTGTTTGAATGTGATGCAATTAACTGATACATACTATTTCTGTAACTAAGAACAAGGAATACTTACATTTTACAGCGTCTTATCACATCACAATGTCTCAAAACGTTTTCAATAAATGCACAGCAATGAATAGTAGGCTTACGGGCTGCGATAATAGAAATAAATATTGGGTTACCTGCAGCTAAAAATGTCCACCCGTCCGATGAAACAAACATGTTCCTTGGAGAGATGGTTACTGTCTCTGGCTCCTTTCCTACAAGCAGAGGTAAATAGACATAAGATAGAGGATCACTTTCCTTTGAAGTCATGTTGTTTACTTTTCCTTTTCCTAAACTTCCCAGAAATCTTTTCAAGATAGGATTTGGATGATCACTGATTCACAGAGATTCTGTAGTTGCAATGAAATACATATATAACTTGCAACCAGAGAGTTAATAATAATAATCCTTGATATAGCACTTTATCACGTCATTGAGACATTTTTATTGACCAATTTTATTTGGGGGATTGTGGGCCAGGACACCGGGAGAAAAACTCTCTTTTTTTTTGAATAGTGCCTTATGATCTTTAACATCCACCTGAACAGGCAGATGGCACTTTGGTTACCGTCTCATCCGAAGTCACATCTCCAACAATGGGACACACCCCCAGCACTACACCGCAGTAATTTTGTTGTTCTTGTTATTGTTGTTATTGTTGGAGTGTCAGCTTAGACTATGTGATTCCAAGTCCCCATGTGGGGCTTGAACCCACAAACTTCTGACTCAATGGTGTGAGTGCTACCACTGTGCCAGGCTGACACACGCACGGTTGGGGTTGGGGAGGGGTTGTCAGATCAGTGTAGGCTGGAGCCGTACCTCCCCACAGCCACTTCACCTTTTAATGACAAATTCACCTCATTGCTTGGTCCTGGCCTTGGCAAGTGGGTCTAAAGAAAACGCTCTGTTGATTTCCTAGCAGCTCAGAAAGTTAAGGAGAACTGTTTGGACAAATGTTTTATACCTACATTGGGACTTTGCTTTAAGTTTATAAAGCTATCTCTTATGCATGTACTGAAGGCCATTTGAAAGTCTAGGTGCACCATGTCATATGGCTTCTCTCTGTTGATTTGAGATGTCATATCTGAAGCTGTCAGAAGCCTCCGCAATTTTAATTAAAGACCAATTAAATACATTGATGATTCAGCACCCTAGCCTGGTTCAGTTCAACTTTTCCTTTCATTTAATTTGTAAACAAATACAACGGTTTAAACTTTATCATTGGGTCTGTATAGGGCTACATTGCCACTAGCCCTGCTTGTATTAAAACATGAAGATCCGACTAGTCTTTGGAAGTTGATAAGCTTTACTATAAATATTCCAGACATACTGTGAAATTTTCCTTTCATATGACTTCAAAAATCTATTTGAAGTTTCTAAGTAACCAAATAGCACCAGTGATTTAAACGTATTTTTAGCTCTGACCATTGTAAAAGGATCTTAAATATTAAACACAATTTATAATTCTCATTCATATTTAATAGCTGTGTGGCAGCATATAGCTGGCTGTTAGCAGAACTCGCTTTCTTGGATTTAAAAGTGAACCTTCGCTTTTGTAGGAAAGACAGTTCAGACATCCAAAATTGCCATAGTCTTAGTTTTAATCATAGAATTTTACAGCACCATCGAGCCTGTGCCGGCTCTTGGAAAAAGCTATCCAACTAGTCCCACTTCCCTGCTCTTACCCCACAGTCCTGCAATTTTTTTCCTTTTCAAGTACCTATCCAATTCCCTTTTGACAGCTATTATTGAACCTGCTTCCACGACCCTTTCAGGCAGTGCATTTCAGATCATAACAACTCCCTGCGTAAAAAAATTCTCCCCTTTTGCCAATTACCTTAAATCTGATTACTGACTCACCCGCCAGAGGAAATACTCTTATCAAAACCCTTCATAATTTTGAACACCTCTGTTAAATCTCCCCTCAACCTTCTGTGCTCTGAGGAGAACAATTCTAGCCTCTCTAGTCTTTCCACATAATTGAAGTCCCTCAACCTTAAGTCTTAAAGTTTAAAATTGTGCAGAATTTGGGGAAAATCTTGAATTCAATCCTAATTTGGAAGTTAGTTTGCCGTAGTTAAAAAACAGCTTCTAAATTACGACTGAATCTAACAAACAACTTTCCAAAATACCTGCACAATCTTAAATTTTATGGTAAGATTCTTAAGGAGTCTAAGACCATGCAAAATTTTGAGCCTCAATGTTTTTGTTTCTCATGTTCTGGATTGGGTGCTGCTATGTATTGGGGAAAGTCATCTTAAGATATTTATAGGACTGAATTGATTTTGTCAAGGGAGGATGTGACACTTTTTCTTCCTCATCAATAGCCCACTAACTTCAAGGATGATTTGGGACATCCTTCCAATGAGAAGGGCGCTATATAAATGCATAGTAACATGTTGTTGTGGAGTAAATACTCACCTTTCCATGTGGCTTCTCACTTGAAGAGTACTTCCTCTTTTAACTCTTAAAAGCCCCTAACATGTTAAAATTACCATTTACCTTCCCTTTTGATGCAATATTCACTCCACATATGAGGATTAGGAATGCTCAGAATAGTGTCCAATATAGACAATTCATTTACAAGATTAAGCAATTTGCCTCGTGTTAGAAGAATAGGTGAAAAAAAACATGTTTGATAAAAATGCTGACCAGCTCACCAATACAATGCACTGTCTGCTGGATCAGAGAATCAGTGGAAAATTCATACTTTTGCTGATGAATAAAGTGAGACTTTATTTACCAGTGAAGTCTTTTTGGGACCTCTTTTATTTAATATCTTCATAAACAATCTGGAGCTAGGTGTCACGAGCACAGTGGCTAACTTTGCAGATCACATAAAGCTAATGACTCCTCATCGATGGCAGATGAAATTCAATGTAGAGAAATGCAAAGTGCTTCACATGGGGACAAAAAATCCAGGAAAGGACTATTATTTAAATGGAAAAAAAATAATCTGTACGAAAATGAAATGGACCTGGGGATCCTGATTGACAATAAATTGAGGCTATTGCAACAGTGCTCAGTCGCAGTGAGTAAAGCAAACCAGATGCTGAGCTGTATTAAAAGAGCAATATTGAGCCGAAATAGTGGGATAATCCTACCACTTTATAAATCACTGGTATGACCACACTTGGAATACTGTGCACAGTTCTGGTCACCGCAGTATAAAAATGGATATTGAAGCGATTGAGAGGATTCAGAGGAGGGCAACCAAAATGTTTGAGGGGATGGAAGGACTGGACTACAAAGAGCGATTAGATAAACTGGGCATGTTCACACTGGAGAAGAGAAGGTTGAGGGGCGATATGATTGCAGTCTTTAAAATTCTGAAGGGACTAGATAATGTAGATCATAATAAGCTATTTTTTTTTGTACTGAACAGTAGAACCGGAGGGCATGGCATGCGATTGAAGGGAAGTAAATTCAGACCAAATTTGTGGGAATACTACTTCAGTGAGAGTAGTAAACTTATGGAACAGGCTCCCTAGGGAGACAGACAATGGAAGCAGAAAGTGTTGTTTGTTTCAAGAACAAATTACATAGATTTCTGCTAGAAAATAATATCACAGGATACAGTATACAATTTGGGACACAACATGTCAAGCGACTGGCTTGATGGTGGAAGACGAACTAGATGGACCTTGGTCTTTTTTCACCTAGCAAATTCTTATGTTCTTATAACTCCTCATCCAGTCTGAACAGATTGCAGATTATTACCTTGAATGTACTGCTGCTTGGTGATTTGAATTGGCTGTGTTGGGATAGCTTGGATGTTCTGTAATAAACATGATAGATAAGTTTGTAAACCAGAGCTGAAAATTCCAATGAATAACAAGATTATAGTTTCACTGAATTGTTATTAATAAATCTTATGTTGTGTTAAAAAAGATAATATTCTTGGAAGATTTGTAGATTCTGTAGAGGCATTTTTGAACAGCCGTGACCGTCTGGCTAAGATGAAGTGTGATCTGAGCAAATATGAATTCAATTAAAGACAATCATTATTATTTATGTAATCATCAAATATGCTGAGGGGCCCAGGGAATCTGGGCAAAACGTAACAGTTTTCAATAAAGCAAATCTAATGTAAATTATCATTGGTAAATTGTTACAGGAAAATTATCACCAGCAAGTTATCACTGGTAAAATATCACCAGCAAGTTATCACTGGTAAGTTATAACCTGGGCCAATAGAAAAGACAGGCGCACTTTTTCTGCCAGAAATGTTGCCCTGCGTTATAAACCTCTGTGAAGGAAGTTTCTGGCCAGCTGGCCTCCTGGCTGTTTACTTGACATCACTTAGGTCGGTGTGGCGCAAATGGCAAATGGGCTTCACTCAGAGGCCCCACTGTTGTGATTGTTTGTGTGTGTGTCAGTGTGTGTCTCTGTCTGTGTCTCTCTGTGTGTCTCTGTTTGTGTGTGTCTCTGTGTGTCTGTGTCTCTGTCTGTCTCTATGTGTCTGCCTCTGTGTCTGTGTGTGTCTCTGGGTCTCTGTCTATGTGTGTGTCTCTCTCTGGGTCTCTGTCTATGTGTGTATCTCTCTCTGGGTCTCTGTCTATGCGTGTGTCTCTCTCTGGGTCTGTGACTCTGTGTGTGTCTCTCTCTGGGTCTGTGTGTGTGTGTGTCTCCGGGTTTGTGTGTGTGTGTGTGTATCTCTGGGTCTCTGTCTCTGGGTGTCTCTCTCTGGGTCTGTGTGTGTCTCTCTCTGTGTGTGTCTCTCTCTCTGGGTCTCTGTGTGTGTGTCTCTCTCTCTGGGTCTCTCTCTCTGACTGTCCTTCTCTGGGTATCTGTCTCTCTCTGGGTCTCTGTCTGTGTGGGTGTGTCTCTCTGGGTCTCTGTCTCTGTGTGTGTGTCTCTTGGGTCTCTGTCTCTGTGTGTCTCGCTCTGGGTCTCTCTCTGTGTGTGTCCCTCTCTGGGTCTGTCTCTGTATGTTTGTGTACCTCTCTGGGTTTCTGTCTCTGTGTGTATCTCTCTCTCTGGGTCTGTGTGTGTGTGTGTCTCTCTCTCTGGGTCTGTGTGTGTGTGTGTGTCTCTCTCTGCGTCTCTGTGTGTGTGTCTCTCTCTCTCTCTCTGGGTCTCTGTCCCTGTGTGTCTCTCTCTGTGTGGTCCCTCTCTGGGTCTCTGTCTCTGTTTGTGTGGTGTGTCTCTCTCTGGGTCTCTGTGTGTGTGTCCCTCTCTCTCTGGGTCTGTGTGTGTGTGTGTGTGTGTGTGTCTCTCTCTGAGTCTCTGTGTGTGTGTCTCTCTCTCTGACACAGTCTGTGTGTGTGTGTGTGTCTCTCTCTGACACAGTCTGTGTGTGTGTCTCTCTCTCTCTCCTGGGTCTCTGTCCCTGTGTGTCTCTCTCTGTGTGGTCCTCTCTGGGTCTCTGTCTCTGTTTGTGTGGTGTGTCTCTCTCTGGGTCTCTGTGTGTGTGTCCCTCTCTCTCTGGGTCTGTGTGTGTGTGTGTCTCTCTCTCTGGGTCTGTGTATGTGTGTTTCTCTCTCTGGGTCTCTGTCTCTGTCTCTGTCTCTCTCTCTCTCTGGGTCTGTGTGTGTGTGTGTGTGTGTCTCTCTCTCTGGGTCTCTGTGTGTGTGTGTGTCTCTCTCGCTCTCTGGGTCTCTCTCTGTGTGTGTCCCTCTCTGGGTCTCTGTGTGTGTGTGTCTCTCTCTCTCTGGGTCTCTGTGTGTGTCTCTCTCTCTCTGGGTCTCTCTGTGTGTGTGTCTCTCTCTCTTTCTGGGTCTCTGTGTGTGTGTGTCTCTCTCTCTGGGTCTCTGTCTCTGTGTGAGTCCCTCTCTGGGTCTCTGTGTGTGTCCCTCTCTGGGTCTCTGTGTGTGTGTGTGTTTCTCTCTCTCTTGGTCTCTGTGTGTGTGTGTGTCTCTCTCTCTGGGTCTCTGTGTGTGTGTGTCTCTTTCTCTGGGTCTGTGTGTGTGTGTGTCTCTCTCTCTAGGTCTCTCTGTGTGTGTCTCTCTCTCTGGGTCTGTGTGTGTGTGTCTCTCTCTCTCTCTGGGTCTCTCTGTGTGTGTCTCTCTCTCTGGGTCTGTGTGTGTGTGTTTCTCTCTCTCTCTGGGTCTGTGTGTGTGTGTGTCTCTCTCTCTGGGTCTCTGTGTGTGTGTGTGTTTCTCTCTCTCTTGGTCTCTGTGTGTGTGTGTCTCTCTCTCTGGGTCTCTGTGTGTGTGTGTCTCTCTCTCTGGGTCTCTGTCTCTGTGTGAGTCCCTCTCTGGGTCTCTGTGTGTGTCTCTCTCTCTGGGTCTGTGTGTGTGTGTGTGTGTGTGTCTCTCTCTGGGTCTCTGTGTGTGTGTGTCTCTCTCTCTGGGTCTGTGTGTGTGTGTGTGTCTCTCTCTCTCTAGGTCTCTCTGTGTGTGTCTCTCTCTCTGGGTCTGTGTGTGTGTCTCTCTCTCTCTGGGTCTCTGTGTGTGTGTCTCTCTTTCTCTGGGTCTCTGTCTCTGTGTGTGTCCCTCTCGCTCTCTGGGTCTTTGTCTCTGTGTGTGTCCCTCTCTGGGTCTCTGTGTGTGTGTGTGTTTCTCTCTCTCTTGGTCTCTGTGTGTGTGTGTCTCTCTCTCTGGGTCTCTGTGTGTGTGTGTCTCTCTCTCTGGGTCTGTGTGTGTGTGTGTGTCTCTCTCTCTGGGTCTCTGTGTGTGTGTGTGTCTCTCTCTCTGGGTCTCTGTGTGTGTGTGTGTGTCTCTCTCTCTGGGTCTCTGTGTGTGTGTGTGTGTCTCTCTCTCTGGGTCTCTGTGTGTGTGTGTGTGTCTCTCTCTCTGGGTCTCTGTGTGTGTGTGTGTGTGTCTCTCTCTCTGGGTCTCTGTGTGTGTGTGTGTGTCTCTCTCGCTCTCTGGGTCTTTGTCTCTGTGTGTTTGTGTCTCTCTCTCTCTGGGTCTCTGTCTCTGTGTGTGTCTCTCTCTGGGTCTCTGTGTGTGTGTGTGTGTCTCTCTCGCTCTCTGGGTCTTTGTCTCTGTGTGTGTCTCTCTCTGGGTCTCTCTGTGTGTGTCTCTCTCTCTGGGTCTGTGTGTGTCTCTCTCTCTGGGTCTCTGGGTCTGTGTGTGTGTCTCTCTTTCTCTGGGTCTCTCTGTGTGTGTCTCTCTCTCTGGGTCTCTGGGTCTGTGTGTGTGTCTCTCTTTCTCTGGGTCTCTGGGTCTGTGTGTGTGTCTCTCTCTCTGGATCTCTGTCTCTGTGTGTGTCCCTCTCTGGGTCTGTGTGTGTGTGTGTGTGTGTCTCTCTCTGTGGGTCTGTGTGTGTGTCTCTCTCTCTCTCTGTGGGTCTGTGTGTGTGTGTGTCTCTCTCTCTGTGGGTCTGTGTGTGTGTCTCTCTCTCTGTGGGTCTGTGTGTGTGTGTGTGTCTCTGTGGGTCTGTGTGTGTGTGTCTCTCTCTGGGTCTCTGTGTGTGTGTGTCTCTCTCTGGGTCTCTGTGTGTGTGTCTCTCTCTGGATCTCTGTCTCTGTGTGTGTCCCTCTCTGGGTCTGTGTGTGTGTCTCTCTCTCTCTCTGGGTCTCTGTGTGTGTGTCTCTCTCTCTGGACCTCTGTCTCTGTGTGTGTCCCTCTCTGGGTCTGTGTGTGTGTGTGTGTGTCTCTCTGTGGGTCTGTGTGTGTGTCTCTCTCTCTCTCTGGGTCTCTGTGTGTGTGTCTCTCTCTCTGGATCTCTGTCTCTGTGTGTGTCCCTCTCTGGGTCTGTGTGTGTGTGTGTGTGTGTGTGTCTCTGTGGGTCTGTGTGTGTGTGTGTGTGTGTGTGTCTCTCTCAGGATCTCTGTCTCTGTGCGTGTCCCTCTCTGGGTTTCTGCGTGTGTGTGTCTCTCGCTCTCTGGGTCTCTGTTTCTGTGTCTGTGTGCAGTGCTGGGCCCTGAGAGGCAGGGGGTGGTGAGCTCCTGTAGCCTCACTGGTGACCCCCGCTTCCCCCCTACCAAAAAAAATGGGTCACCTAATTAAAGAAGCAATTCATATTTTTTTTGCAACAATCTAACGTGTGTTATTTCCTCATGTTTAGTTTTTATCAATAAAGTGAAAAAATGTAGTTTGGCAGTAAAATGTACGTCCACAGCACCAATCAACCCCCGTAATTTTCCAAATCTCCCCACAATTTTTGGCAAATATTTCCACATTTTTCTATTGGCCCAGATTATAACCAACGTTAAATTATCACTGGTAAATTATTACTTATAAATGATCACCAATGGTAAATTATTACGGTAAAATATAATCTGCGGTAAATTATCATAGGTAAATTATAACTGACACTAAATTCTCAGCAACATTAAATTATTGAACACTACAAATTTTGAGCTTACTACAACTACAACTTGCTCGGGGCAGTGTCTTGGAGGACTTATAACCTGTCACTGCAGATCTAATTTCCTGGGGTCCCTTGTCTCTAATCATAATTTGCTCGCAATATATTTCATAATATGTAGCTGTCTGAGTTGGCAGGACACTCGTCTCTGAATCATAAGATTGTGGATTCAAGCCGTACATTGGGACTTATAAAATCTCATAACTCATAGTCTAGACTGACACTCCAATGCAGTGCTGGGGGTATGTTACATTTTTGGAGGTGGCACCCTTCCTTTTTTATATGTTGTAGCCGTGCATCATAGGCGAGAGTGCTACCAACTGAGCCTGGCTGACACTTAATCCCAATGCCAAGTGTAATGCTCATTCATGGAGTCAGATCCAGTAATTTAGTAAAAATATATCTGCTAAAGCATCACTCACTCGGGGGTGAGTTTGATGCCCATAGTTATACTGCAGTGTTTATTTAATGAGATAATAAAAAAAGGAACCATTAAAATAGGGAAAGAGACATAAAACC